CGTAAGTAACTAATAACTTTAACTTACTTACTTCTAACGTAACGTAACGTACGGCGACGTTAGTATAAGTAATACTACTTCGTACGTTTACTTACGTGTGTGTGTGTGTGTGTGTGTGTGTGTGTGTGTGTGTGTGTGTGTGTGTGTGTGTGTGTGTGGAGGGTTATATAGAATCCTTCTTCAGATCAGCAAATTAATCATGCATTTGTACTGGAAGCAAATTTAACTCCGTATTATTAAAATGGTGCTTCTCATATTTAAATAAAATGAACACTTGCGAAAGCGAAAAGTGGGATATACCTTAACACCATTTTAGTGTCAGTGAAACTACAAAATGTGGAAAGAAAATTAAAATTAAGCATTTTCTTGTGAAAACATTGTTTTGGCTTACTCTGTGCAATGTCCTTGGGATTGAGTACTCCAACTAACCTAGTTGTAGAATGCTGTTCCTGTATAGTCACGTGACACACAACAAAGGAAGCAGACATACCGGTTTCCGCTCACTGTTGGCATTTCTTAACAAGCTGTTGGGAACATTTTTCGATTTGCTTTCTCCTTTTTTTTCTTTAAAAAAAGCTTTCTAACAACAATTTTCTAAAATTATTACGAACCGTTTAAAATTACATTCCATCACAAGGCTATTCCCTTCGTGCTCAGGTTGTTAATCTAATTTCCCTTTATCTTTTTTTTTTGTATTTATAAGGAGAAAATGTCACGATAGGACATTATTCATAGAGGGCCAGAAGGAGTCGCATCTGATAGCTTTTATTCCAGTTTTAGCCACATGTAAAATAACGATCTTACTTTCTTCATGAACCAAACAGATTGCATTGCAGAAACTTACCGTAGATATGACAAAATGTACTTCTTCGCACTAAAAATGTATTTCTTTGTAATATACATTTACTACAGCTCTTTCTCGACACCTTGAAAACACATTATCACTATATTTGTTTACGAATAGTAATTACCAGATTAGGTTATTATTTTGCGAATTTACAACTTTATACTGTTTGAACTGTTCTGTAATGACGCTCCAGTTATCATACAAAGAAAAAAAAAACCACCGTGCTTTATCAGGGAACTCAGAAAAGAGAAAAACAGACGATAGGCACTTTTTTTTTTTTTTTTTAGAACTTACCGATTGAATGAAAAAAAAACATTTTTTATATGGGCGATTAAGCTCGAGTTGCCTAAAAATTTTATCCAGATTAATATTCAACTTAGCATTTCTAAAAAGAAACGATTTGATAACGTTCTTCGTATCAGTACCACGTTGACTGAGGAAATAAGGAATTTTTGATTTGGACAAGGCGCATTGTAAAATTAATCGTTCGGTGATTTTACAGCAAAATAATCTATTTATACGCATTGGAAATTTGGTAACATTTTAATATGACAGACGCATTATGGAATGTTAGGAGTAACCTAGAGAATCATAAGGAACAGTTATACCCAAAATATATCCAAGTGATACATTTACACGTTTCTTGGATAAATATTGACCGACACCTGAACCTTATGCTATCCAGGGCGGTATCGCATAACTCTTTAGGTTACACATTAAATTTAATCTGTAAAAGTTCAGGTGGGCGTGAAGGGTGATACCAAGCCAGTTGTAGTTATCAGTATAATACAGTAAGTTGAGAACAAAAGTACACTGACGTCTACGCTAACAATCGATGTTAACATAATTTTGAAACAGTTGAAGATAAGCTAAAATTCCCCTCTTAAAGTACATGATTCAGTGGATGAAACTAGGTCAAACCTTAGAAATTAACGGTCAAGTGGTAATAAAATTGTTACAGACACAAACCCAGTTAGGCGGTCTACTGTAAGAAGTAAAAGCAAGGCCGTTTGAAAACAAAGCTTTTGTTTGCGAATATGAACTACATAAACTGTCCCTAAACAGAGATCTTTATTGATAGAAGTTAATAATATTATCACAAATATATTTTTTCTTCATAGCTAAATAAAGGACTATTCTATACTTTGAGATTCTGACAACAAACTGCTACAAAGTACAAGTGTCGTTCTCAATTTTAGGCTTAAGAGTGAGTTACCAGCAAAAGCACTATGTGCATTTCTTCTGTTAACCACTGAATAAAAAATAAATAAAACTTTACATGCTGATATTAGATTACTTGAAAGAAAGAAGAAAACCTTACACATCTAATGAAGAACTTAACTTTTAAAATACTAAATACTAGTGATTTTGTGATCAAATTTGAAGTTTATTCTATAAGTCACTTTTCTTTATACAATTTCTCAACTTCATGTAGCCACTGAAATAAAATAACCTTGGCCAAGGTCATACAGCATACAAACTGCAACAAGGTTAATGTTACTGAAACCAGTGAATCTCTGACTTCTCATTTCCTTTAAGTTTTTACGTTTCTATTCTCGTATAACATTCAATACATATAAAATTTATTTCTCACAAAATAAAAAAAATACAAGTTCTATTAACACAAATATTAAAGGTGTAACTAGCATTTTTCACACTCAGTATATCGCAAATATAGAAATCCTTTAATAGAAATGGTAAACGAAATATGTTGAAGTTAAAACAAACAGATGAATACTTTCTCCACGTTAAGAGTTTGTTTGAACACACTTCTCACAAGAATTAACAGTGCTTTGTTAACAGAACAGTTTAAAAACAAGAGTATGATACCACTAAGCCTAATAGTAATATATGGCCTGGTTACAAGTCTTGTGAAACACTATTCTTTGCTATTTGAGCTGCGAATTATTAAAGCCAGTTGATGATTAAAAGTGATACTTAATAGAACATTAAATACTAATTAAAACATTAATGAATGAAAGCTACACAAGGATATATGCCTTGTAGTCCAACAACGATAATAGTAATTTTTTATATTTCATACAAACTACAGATTGCGAACATTTTATTACACAAAGTGGTGGAGTATACAACGTCTTCATCTTACAAGTTTGTGTTCACTTCGGATTAATCTATACATTTTATAAAACCATTCGTTGTACATTAAATGATTAATATAACACTACACATTGCACACTTCACCTTTTTCTTAAACACAAAATATTTTAACTTTTTATTAGTAGCGGAATGGTGCATTTAGGAATTAATTTTTAAGGAGTAGACACGAAAACAAATGGTAAGAGTTTTATTTGGCGGTGCTTTGTATTGTGTATAGCCTGGTTTAAAGAAGAAAATAAGATGATTCTAAATGTTTTAAAACTTATCGCATGGTAACTTGTATGGCTACACAAGGGGTAGATTTTCTGATCGGAGCTGCGCAGACTATGTATACCTAATATTATTAGATCGGTCATAATATTGTTTTCAAATGTCTGGTAATGTTATCTATCGTGATTTTCTAGAGTACTCGCAGTGTGAAACGGGAGAATTCAAAATAACTACGTGATTTGACCTTTCCAAAAGTTCAGCAAAGTATTACTAAAGTTATCAGTGTGAATATTTGCGTTTAACTAAATAACAAGCTTCAATAATGACTGATCATAAAAAATAAAGAACTATAATATGGATATTATTAAACACACAGTTATTAGGAAAATGCAGTTAAAATATAACAAAACAATGAATTCAAGGTCTTGGCCAATTTCACTCAAAGTCAAAGATCAACGAATACACATACTCCACTTTAACTTCTAGTTCTACTACTAAGTTCGAGAGCCGCCTAATTCAACGAATAAACTGTAAAGCTAGAATAATTATACATCCTTCCTTTTCAAAATTCTAACCAACTCTTTTTGCTGTCTGTCCTGAAGCATCCAAATTAACGAAGCGATTGTTTTTAAACTTGGAGAATAATATGTTACCAACAAAAATTACCAACTTTAGTCGGATACTCATTGCATTATTGTTTTAGGCCTAATCTGTTTGCATAAATATCGTACTTGACAGCTCACAACGTTTTCACAAACTAGGCGCTTAAAAATAAAATAAAACCAGCGTTTTTTTTTGTTTTTTTTTGCTTTTTTTATGAATGGAATTATGAATTAATCCCCTTTTACTTACGTGGTTAAAAATCTCCTAGAAATGATGGAAACAACCCTCTAGCTTAGCTTTTTACCCATATGGTATAAAATATCGATTTTTAAATAATCAGAATCCGACACCGTGCAAATCGTTAACTTGGCAAAGAAAACCTCCACTTTCTACAGAAAATTTCTACATTCTGTCAAAAGGATCAATCATCACAGAATCACATTTTCATCTTACCGGAACTTCCCCAGTGGAAGATCACGCACAGGGCAACCACCCACATGGGTAGCAAGTGGGAACATATGGTGAGAAAAAGAAGCCGTTACCAAACACAATTTGATGGCCGGGGGATGTCAAGTCGTATGGAGAAAGTTGTGTTTTGGCTAACGCCAGGCTCTGTTCTTGAACGTACACTTGGTAGGCCAATTGTTCGATCAATGTCAGAGTTTGTCGCCGCTCATGCCCCATGAGACACACCGTACTCTCGTCCACAACCCTGTGTAGGATCATCAAATAGTCATATTTATTATGGTCGTCACCGATGAAGTGATTCGCAAGGTAGCTCTCGAGTTTATTTTGCTGTTGCCCAACGTCGCTGAAATCTATAAAAAACCTCGAACACATGTACCTTTCCAGGGACTTTATGTCTTCTGGCAATGCAGGTTTGTAATCTCGAACAAGAAGGTTACAGTATTTCAGTAACCCTCCACCACGGATTTCTTCTGGATTGCGAGTAGAAATTAATTTCTTGTGAAGATGGTAAAGAGCTTCCTGGAAATCTCCGTAAACGCTTTCTGCAACAATGGTAGGATAGAAAGTATCACCCATTGGCATTTGGGCGCAATCGTAGAATAACAACAGGGAGTCCAGTATAATCTGGAAGGAATCTACGCTAAACTCAAACTGCCGCTTCATGTAAGTAACAAACTTAAGTTCCATATTCCGCCCTCTGTTGTTACTAAGAGATATTAGGCTCCAACGGTCACTATCCGCAACTTTAACCATTTTGTGAACGTATGCTTCTTTCAAACTGCAACTGCTTATTCGAGTTTTACTAACTCCTTCTGGTAGGAAATCAAGTAACGAATCTAATACAGCTCCTTTTACTCTCTCATAATCTCGCTGAGTTGACAGTTCAACGGCAAAAATCAAATCCAGATCGTTATAAGAGGAATTTTCAGGGCTTAGTACATAACTTGCTGCCCCACCATTAAGCCTTATATCTTTCACGTGTACAGCATCTTGTTCCAGCTTGGCCCGAACAACCCGCACGAGATCTTTCAGCTTTATTTCCAGAGTGGGAAAGTTGCCTCTTCCGTGAATGGGTACTACCTCGTCCATAATGTCGTGAAGTCGCTTGACCTGTTCGTAGCTTAATACAGCAAACCGCTGACCATCGGTCGATATAGTACTCAGAGCATCCATTCTTAAACGGTGACAAAGATAATCAGATCGAACAGCAAGGCTTCCCCACTACAAAGTGCAAGAGAGAAAAATACAGATTTCAGTTAAAGTACACTGACACAGTACTTTCCTACTCTACGCACCATCAACTACACAGCTGAATGCTACAAACTTTAGCGTGCAGCCTGATTTTGGTCCGTGGTGATACGCACTACAGCGCCCCCAGTGGCAGGTTCCCTTCACTTAGGTCTAAACTATTTCGTTTTATGGGTATTAATGGACAAATATTAATTATTCTAATCTATATATTTCGTGAAATATACGATTTACCAGAAACATGTAAAACTTCTGTTTGTTCTTGACAAAATGGCAAAATATGTATATATATATATATGCATATGCAATAGCAAACAAATAAAAAATAGTGTTACACTCGCATACAATAAATAAATTTCTACTCGGTATGCGTGTCAATTCATTGGAAACTTGTTAAACAGCCTGTTGTTGCTTAGCAATACTTACGTCAATCGTCGTGACAGTTTCTCTGTCACAGCAAAACACATGGAAAGGAGCCGGCAGCTTTATATGCCCGACACGTTTTTGTTGTTTTAGTACTAGATTATTTTCGCTATATTTCTATTAGGCTATGCTATAGATTAGTGAAACTGGAAGAAATACCACCAATCTGCCAATCGTCCAGAAACGTATAGTCAGTCAATCGTGCTCAAACACAGTTCTGCCAAAAGCAGTATACATTGTTTATAATTAACATTGAAAGTGTGATTTTAAAACTCTATGACCTAAAAAATACTAATAAAACTAAAATGATAAAACCTTAGAATAATTGCATACGTCTTTGAAGTTACGTCATTCACTCATAGTGGTACATGCAAACAACCTGTATCAAACTGTTATATGGCTACTGGCGACAGTTGCGTTCACTCTTATTTGTCTTACCTGTACACTACTTGTGTACATGCACATCTGTAATAAAAATGTTTTGAAGTTAATACAACGACAAAAAATTATAAACTTTACGCAATTTTCTATGTTATTGTACCGTTAATTTTACTCAATATTTGTGGGTGTTTTACATTAATACTTAAATTTAAGACGAATATCAAAACTTGAAATTCAATAACAGAGTATATAACATTTGAAAAGATGCTTACCTAGAATTTATAATAATGCAAACAAACCAATTGATAATGTATTAGCAAGTATTATACTTACTAGAATTATGAGAAACTGAACAAGCTCGCGAATACGCATGTATATTTCATTTTTTTATTATAAAAACAAGAGCCTGGTGGTTAGGGTATTCGACTCGCAATCTGCGGGATCGCACCCGTTACAAAATATGTTCGCCCTTTCAGCGGTGGGGACGTTATAATGTGATGTTCAATCCCACTATTCATTGGTAAAGAGTAGCCCAAGAGTTGTCGGTGGCTGATGTTGCTTTGACTTCCGTTTAGTCTATAGCTTCAAAACTAGGGACGGCTAGTGTAGCTTTGCACGAAACTCAACATAAAAACAAGGGTTTTAAGAAATCCTGTCGCCATCTGGTGTATATTTTTCAAATCAAAAATATACACGAAAACTAACCACCCATACTTTTCGTCCATGAGTTCATCTGCAGTTATCCTTAAAATTGCGATACAAACACCTTGAATTATTTTAAAACCGTATTTTATCTAGTATTTGAATCTACTTTATTAAATCATGCGTTTGCAAAAGAAAAGTTTCCAAAGAGTTCTGGATGTTATAGCAAATTGTTCATGATTAAGTCAGGACCAGAGCCGGACCTAGGCCAAAATGTGGCCCGGGAAAACTTTGTACTCAGCAGCCCTACTTCTGTAAAATTGACAAGAGCTGCTAATTGCAGTGTTAACTTCTTAGGTTGGGTGTCCTGTGTGAGGGCATACGTAGCCCACCCCAAGGACCGGCCCCGGTCAGGACGAGTCGTATTTATCCGTTCTGGTCCAAGATATGTTCATAATACTTCACTGTTGGGCAATTAAAAACGTTAAAAGCGTAATAAGAAGGTTTCTTTGAGGTAAAATTGCCCCAACAAGCCCTATTGAATATATCTGTTCTTTATAACTTAATTTTAAAATTCAAGTAATTTGTGAACGACAGCAAATCAGAAGAATAGCCACAAGTTTTGCGTTGAGTTCTTTATTTTGTTGAAACACACAGGAAATTTATGAAAACCCCAAACGATTACAACATAATAGATTGTTTATGCTAAGATCCAAAATAAAAATAGCAATAGTTCAATATTTATTTTATGCTTGATTTATTGATTCGTTTTTTTTTTCTTTTCTTCTAGTTATATCAATACAAGAAATCATTATGCACTTTATATACATCACGTGATTTCTGCACACATACGCAGTCGCCATGGTAATATCAAACACTGGAAACGACTAGTAACAACCGGATTTTAAGCATCGTGTTCAATAAATTATTCTTAAAATGGTTCTTGATATGCCAACAGATAAAGGTTTCCGAATATATCTACATAATAACCGGGCTATAACCATTTGAAGATAAACAGTTTTGTTAAATACTTCTCGAGAGTAAACCCTTTTTTACGGAAGTAAACTAATAAAAACGTTCTCTTATATATTTCTTCTTATGTATTTATGACAAAGCTACGAAGGTTATCTGTCGCCGTCCCTAATTTTGAACTATTAACCAGAAGGAAGGAATCCAATCAGCAGTATTCTACTGCCCACCATCCATGTTAAGGGATTGACTGTCAGTTTTATAACGCACCAGCAACTTAAAATGCGGGTAATATTTAGTGGCGTTACGTGAATTCGAACACGGCTCCTCAGTTCCGGAATCCAGAGTTCTGCCATAGGGCCATCCTGTGCCTTTTCTCCTATATAAAGGTCAGAAAAGTCAAACACTAACTTTACACATAAAAAAGCAGAATAATTAAAGCATTATTTGAATGTACTTTTATTCGGTATACATAAAAAACAACAGAAAATCTCTTATTCATAGCCTTCATTTTGCACAGAACTTTATAAACAGATAATTCAAGCATGTTATTACAAATATATAAAGGGACCGTGAACTCCAGAGAATCTTAGAATTTGTTTTAATCGTTCAAAGTTTCGTCTTTACGCCTTCACAAGGAGCAAACAATTTCCGAAACGAACGCTATTACTCTGAGACCTTTGTATTCCTTGATGTGAATGATATTACAAAAACTGTATGCTTCTGATGAAGACGTATAGGCCAAACGTTGAGCAAATAAAACAACTTGTAAGATTTTCTGAAGTTCATGGTCGTTTTATTTACTTGTAATTATGTGTAATATGCTTCTATGAGTATTACACAAATTAAAAAATAATTCACATTCTTCTCTACAACACCTTCTTTGCTGCTAAAAACCACTGTAGAGGATTCTAGGAAATAGTTCATCAATAAAAAATTTTGATTTCGTTGTTTAAGTTTAAAACAATAGAGGGCTTGTTGAAGTCTCTGCAACTCATCTCTTTCTAAAGGAAAATAATTATACAAAACATCTCAATTTTATGTTTTAGAAAATTTAATATAGATGCCAACACGTCATGAGAAACACATATATAGGATGACTGCTAGAGATAAATAATGAACTTACTAAGAGAATGGTTAACAGCATATCAAATGGTAGATACTAAGAGGGATATTTATAATGTTACAATGAACATACTAAGAAAATGATTAATAGCAAATCAAATTATAGATACTTAGACGGACACATCTAATATTATAATGAACCTACTAAAAAAAAATGATTAATAGCAAATCAAATTGTAAATACTTAGATGGACACATCTAATATTATAATGAACCTACTAATAGAATGGTAGGTACTAAGAGGGACACTTCTAATATTATAACGAACACACTAAGAAAATGGTTAATAGCATATCAAATGGTAGATACTAAAAGGGACATTGCTAGTATTATACCAAAATACTTAGAGAATGATTAACAACATATCAAATGGTAAATCTTAAGAGAGACACTTCTAATATTATAACGAACATGCTAAGAGAATGGTTAACAGTATCTAAATGGTAGATACTAAGAGGGGCACTTCTAATATTATAACGAGCATACCAAAAAGGATGGCTATTAGTAGTAGTAACGTAATTTCAGGAAAATTCCTGTGGGGTGGGGACAAAGTTTTTTCAGCAACTATCGATACATATATGTATATATCAATAATATTAGATGTAATTATATTATATCCTGCGATGTCTGGGGAAGGATGTAAACCATGGTCTGGGGAGGCAACTGCCTCTTTGCCCCATCTTAAATAACGTCCCTGGTTATCAGCATATCTAAAATTACATCCTAACAATATAACTGGTGAAAAACATAGGAGAGCATATTAACAAGGACATTGCTTTTATCTTAATGAACATACTAATAGGACATATAATTACAGCGACTTGCCAAAGTATGGATATTTTTAAATTTTAAGTTACTCAGTTTTTGTAGTTTTGATTTTCCTGTTTCAATACGTTTTGTAGCACTAAAACTTTCGATATCACTATAGCTACTAGCTGTATAGGTTAAGTATATATCGATCCTTACTTGTCTTCATAAAATGTAATTTGTTTATTATACTTGTACTAATAAGATTAATGGTAGTATTAAAACTAGCATACTAAGATGATTAGTGCTAGTGTTATGTGAAACATACTAATAGATTCACACACACACACATATATATATACTAGCAAAAGTACCTGGCTTCGCTCGGGTTATTAGGTTGATAGTGTGTGTATTATGAACCCATTTTAGCATAAAAGTATAACCTATATACTTTTGTTGCTAAGCAACATGACATAAATCCATTGTTGGAACGCATTCTTACCAAAACGCACTGGCTTTTCTATATATTAGAAGTTGTTATATAAGGAACCAATTATTTTCTGTGTGGTTTTTGCTAGCTTGCCTCATTAAAAAGATGCGCACGCGCATGTAGATAACATAAGTAATACTTAGGTGCACACTCTCAGAGTCCACTTAGTATGGGTGCAAAATTTTAGGTTTCTAGGTTCTTTTCTCTTGAAGCTATGGTGGTCACAAATACACTGACACGCAAGTGCACACGCATACATACATATGTACGTGTGTGTTTGTCTTTGATTTGTATTCGTAGTATAAGGAGCCACTACTTTTCTATGTGGTTTTTCGCTTGCTTCCCTGATTAAAAGTTGAGAACGTGCATGGATAAGATAAGTAATAATACCCAGGTGCACACCCTCAGGGTCCACTTAGTATGGTTGCAAAATTTCAGGTTTCTAGTTTCTTTCTTCTTGGAGCTATGGTGGTCACATTTCTTTTCTATGCGTTTTTTCGCTAGCTTACTTCATAAAAAAGATGCGCACGCACATGGGTAAGTAACAATACCCAGTTGCACACTCTCAGGGTCCACTTAGTACGGGTACAAAATTTCAGGTTTCTAGGTTCTTTCCTCCTGGAGCTATGGCGGTCAAACAGACACAGAAACGCACGTGCGCACGCACACAGGCGCGTGTCTTTCCATGTGTGATTTCTATTTGTAATATAAGGAACCACTTCTTTTCTGTATGTTTTTCGCTTGCATATCTTACAAAAAGATGCGCTTGCGCACGCATGTATATAAGTAATAATACCCAGGTGCACACACCCAGGGTCCACATGGTATGTGTGCAAAATTTCAAGTCTCTGGGTTTTTTCCTCTTGGAGTTATGGTGGTCACATACACACACATACACGTCCTTTTATTATTACTTACCCATGCTCGTGTGCATCTTTTTATGAGGTAAGCTAGCGAAAAACACACAGAAGAGAAGTGGTTCCTTATATAACAACTTCTAATATATAGAAAAGCCAGTGCGATTTGGTAATGATGCGTTCCAACAATGGCTTTTATATCATGTTTCTTAGCAATAAAAGTATAACGTAATATTGTTGTTAAGCGACTATGTACTGAAAATATAAAATGACACGTATAAACTACAAAATTGAAAAAATATTTGTTGTTTTATGATTTAGAGGCCCCGTTAATTAAAGAGGATTAAAATCAGTTTTAAGTTTCAAATCACAGGACATGTTATAAGGGAGTATTATAAACAGGCCACATACCGTAATAAAAGACCAATAAAGGTATATAGGTTATACTTTTATGCTAAAATGGGTTCAGAATGCCCACACTGATACACTCATCTAAAATGTATCAACCTAACAACCCGAGTGAACCCGGGTACTTTCGCTAGTATATATATATATTTGAGCCGTACATGGCCAAGAGCTTAATGTGTCAAACTACGTATAGAAGAGTCTGTGGTTCGAGACGTAATATTGAACTTTCATTTGTGGACAAGTTATAAACGTGACAGTCAATCCTAATACTCAGTTCAAAGTGGTGAATGATTTACTCTAAGCTTACCAGACATCATTATACACTTTATGCACATTACTCTAAGCTTACCATAAATCATTATACGCTTTATCCACTTACTCTAAGCTTACCAGACATCATTATACGCTTTATAAACATTATTCTAAGCTTACCATACATCATTATACGCTTTATAAACATTATTCTAAGCTTACCATACATCATTATACGCTATATAAACATTATTCTAAGCTGACTAGATATCATTATACGATTTATCTATTTTACTCTAAGCTTACTAGACATCATTATACGCTTTATAAACATTATTCTAAGCTTACCAGATATCATTATACGCTTTATCCACTTTACTCTAAGCTTACCATACATCATTATACGCCTTATCCACTTTACTCTAAGCTTACCA